TTTCAGGAATGCTAGCTTTCAGCATATCTGTAATCTTGCTGATACCATCCTTTCAGTGCATTGTAAGGTGTATTGTTACCTAGAAAGGGAATTTAAACATTAGCAAACATATTCCATATTTTGCTTTAAAATGCTGTATTTCATTAATTATATCTCATTTAAAAATATATACGATTAGCCGGAAGTTGTGGCACACGCTTTTAGTCCCAGCACTTGGAGGCAGAGGCAGGTGGATCTCTGTGAATTTGAGGCCAGCCTGGTCCACAGAGTGGGTTCTAGGACAGCCAGAGCTCCACAAAAAATCTCTGTCTAATAAGAAAAAAAAAAAAAAGATATGTAAGATTAATCATTCTGGGCAGGAATTTTCTAGAAGCCCTGTAAGGTACTAAAACTACTGTGATACACTTGGAGTTTACTTTCCTCTTTTTGTCCCTGCCTCTTTCCCATCTCCATCCTGTCTTTTTCACTGGCCACAATCCACTCTTATACTTCATAACTGATGAAGTGGACCGTACATACTCTGCAATTTGAAAAACACTATTCAGGACTCTAAGTTCCTTGAGGGCAGTGTCTATGTCATCTTCATCTTCCCAGACCCTAGCACTATTCCTGGCTCCATGTAACTTCTGAATAAATGTTTTCTGAATGAATAGACCTCAGTTAAAACAGATCAGCAGCCTCTGGGATTCCGGAAGGGCCAAGAGAGGTAAATAATTTATCACAGGCTTCCCAAGAGCCCCTGCCATCCTCTAGACACTGGAGCTATTGTGGACATGTCCTGCCTTCTCTCCCCAACCCCCAGGTTTCAGGACAGAGGGCAGAAGGTTTAATGGAGTTCAGAAATTTCCCAAGGCAAAGACATACTCATCAGGCTCTCGGGTGGGTGTTTGTCAGGAGACAAATGATTTTTTAAAAGAGTAGTGGAAGAAAAACAAGGTTTTCAAAAGAGCCCTTCATTCCATTTCGTATATATAAACTTAGTCCTCGAGCTTGACTCCTTTTGCTTCTAATACCACTGCTCTGCTGGTATTTGAGCCCATTTGTTAGACCCTGGCCAGTCTGATTTTTTTCAAACACTATAAATCTTCATTAGACTATGCCCATACCAGAATTTTTCCATTTGGAGGTAGAAAAAAATCCCCAAGCCCCCCAAAACCCTGTGGCTTGTTTCCTGTCCAGCTGGCTTCTGTCTCTTGGGGTTTTATTCCCATCATCAAAGAGGCTTGACAGACCAAGAACAAACCCCTGGCTCACTCTGAACTAACAAGTGTTGTCTCCAGGTCAAAGCAAGTGAGAATGAAAGAGAAAAAAGTATTTTTCTGACTGAGAAGCTTGACAGAGAAAGCCCAACTCTCACTCCACACGGGCCTGTTCTGTGGCTGTCCTGGAGGACGGATCCCTGAATGGTGGGCTGCAGGCCAGACTCACTCGCTCTCTGACTTCCTCAGAGCCAGCATGGGCTCTGTCTTGACCCTGAGTCTGTTTCTGGGATGTAAAGTGGCAGCCTTTGAAAGAGCCTTCATAATTTTGATTGCAACAAGCTGGCCACAGATCCTCACAGTCATGGAGTAGTCAGAGTGTCCTGTCTCTGCAGGAAGCCAGCATGGTTGGCAGCTTGTGTCTGCTTAGGGAACATGCAGGGGGTTCTGTTCATTTAGGAATGTTTAAAAGGATGTTAGCTGCAGCATGCAGCACTGGGAAGCTCAGGCATGAGGATCACTGCAAGTTCTAGGCCAGCCTGGGCTTCATAGCATGTTCCAAGGCCAGCCTGGAACACTGAACCTTGGCTTGAAGGAGGAGGAGGAGAGGGGAAGAAGGAGGGGGAGGATGTATTACCTTGGCACAGGTCTATGATCTCAACATTTGAGAGGTGGAAACAGGAGGATCAGGGGTTCAAGGTCATCCTCTGATACATAGGAAGTTTGAGACCAGCCTGGGCCATATGACACCCTATCAATAATGATGGTGATGACGATGATGACAAAAAGACATTAACTTAGCTAAAATTTTCAATGTAAGAGCTTATTACTCATTGAGTTTGAGCAAACGATGCTTGTCTCTATAAGTGTGTCCAGAAAACACTGAGTCAAGAGGCTGAGACAATGCAACACCATAGCAGGCCATAACTCAGGACATTAAGGAGCACCCATGGGAAGAGCTCCACTGCTCTCCCACCCATGGGAAGAGCCCCACTGCTCTCCCACCTATGGGAAGAGCTCCACTGCTCTCCCACCCATGGGAAGAGCCCCACTGCTTTCCCAGCGCATGCTAAGTTCTTGTGATCCAAACAAATCCCCTTTGACATTTGCAGTCATGTCTCAAAATACCTCTGGTCAACTTTGTCCATCTGAATTCTTCCCATCCTGCCCTGCCCAAATGCATCGGTGAAGACTGAGATGGTAGCTCAGTGGTGGCGCATTTGACTCTCGTGCTTGAATTCTAGGTACTGCCCCAAAAGACAAGACTAAATTAAACAACAACAATGGGCACTGACATTCTTATAGGCCCTTGCCATTTCTCCAGTCCACTCCAGTAATGTTTCTCCTCTTCCTTCCTTAGGTCTTCTTCCAAGGTGACTTTGTTGTTTCTGCACAAGCAGGCAAACTTCTCAGAGGCCTAACACCATCTTTTAAAAGTCTCTTCTGCTCAGCCACTGGAACCAATTCCTCAGCCTTGTGCTAGACATCTACTGGTTCATTGATTTTTTTTTTTTCTTTTCTGTCCCAGAGCTGGCCTCCTATGTGTAGTTTTCTGACTTTCTTCCCTGAACAGCCTTTTGGCAGGTTAGATCCTGGCTGTTAAATGCAATAGTGGGGGGGAAAGTACAGCAAGAATTATGGTTGAGAAACCTGAGGAAAACAAGATAAAGGCAAATGATGGGCAGGATTGGGGAAGAAAAGCAAGGGGCTGGGGTGAAAGTTGAGCTAGTGGTCAGAGTTTTTGCCTCACAAGCTTGAGGATCTGCCTTCAGACCCCAAAACTCAGGTACAGTACAGGCATGGCAGTGTACACCTGTAATCTCAGTGTTGTGGAAGTAGAGACAGGAGGATCCCTATGGCTGATCAGCTGATCTTGCCCAGGTTCAGGGAGTACCTGTCTCAAAATACATGGTGGAGAGCCAGAGGGGTGGCTCAGTGGGTAAAGGTTATTGCACCAGCCTGGTGACCAGAATCCAATCCACAGAAGCCACAGAGGGGGAAAGGAGAGAACCAACGCTAGAGTTGTCCTCTGACCTCCACAAGTGTGTAATGTGGCGTGTGTGTGTGTGTGTGTGTGTGTGTGTGTAGAGAGAGAGAGAGAGAGAGAGAGAGAGAGAGAGAGAGAATATTAAGAAAAAAAAAATGATAATAAGGGGAACTGTGGAACCCACATGGGGAAGGAGAGAGTCACCTCTGATCTCTCCCATACCCCACACCAATACAATAGTTACAAACTGAAAATGAAAGTATAGAAAGCGGTTGAGAAAGACACCTGACATTGGCCTCTGGCCTCCTCATACACACACATGTATATTACAGGTGTAGTGTACCACACATGGGGATGGGGCTTTTTTCATGTTAGCATGTGTCAGCTTTAGGATATGGCCAGTTCAGGATGAAGGTAGAAACAAACTGGTTAAACCGCAAATATACAAAAGATGAGAAGGTTAGAGCTCCACCAGTCACACACACGGTGCCCGTCTCAGTGCCATCGCTACTCTTAGGTTAGTAGAAGAGGACAGGGCTAAGCCCTCCTGAGCTGTTGGTACCTGCCGGGCCCTGGATACCATTTCCAGTTCAGTCTGACCCCTTGACATTCCAGTGACTCACAGGGAGACAGTGAGGTCATTGCCATGTTACCATCCCTGAGATAACAAGGGACAAAATCAGCTTTCAGACCCCACTGTGCCTACTGATTTTACCACATGTGCCGGGTCCTTAGCACACCAAATCTGGGCCTGTCCGTGGTCAGTCAGAAGCAGGACTCAGAGCCAGGGCTCCTTAAGCACTGTCCTCAAAGGGAGTCTGAGTTGTCTCATGCTCTTTCTGCCATACGGATGCAAGGCTAAAATGTGCGGTCACTGAAACAAGAAAACAAACCTCATGTATTAACAGAAGGACACCAGCTCCAGTATGTGCTGATCTCTGTTGTTCAGTGACTGTTGTCATTCGGTAGCTGTTGTTTTTCATATGTGAGTGCAATTCCCTTCACCTAAATGTTAAATCCCTGAATCTCATAACCAGTGACTGCCATCACCCCCTTTTCTCCAGGTAAGAGGAGAATACTAGATCTTCATACCTCCTTCTCCTGTTTTCAACTCAGCAGGATAGACGTTGAAATCTTAGTTTACCTGGAGCATGGCATAGCTTTGTCTGCTTGGTCCTTACACATGCTTTGGTAGTTTGAGTAAGAATGGACCCATAGGATCCTCTGTTTGAATCATTAGTCATCAGGGGGTGGCACTGCTTGAGAAGGATTAGCATACTTACCCAGGCTGTGGAGTAGATGTGGCTTTGTTGGAGGAAGGGTGTCACTGGGGGTAGGCTTTGAGGTGTCTCTGCCTCTGCCTCTGCCTCTGCCTCTCTCTCTCCCCCTCCCTCCCTCCTTCTCTCTTCCCCTCTCCCTCTCTCTCTCCCTGTCTCCCTGTTCATCAGGATGTAAAGGTCTCATACAAAGTCCCTCTCTGAGTGCTTCCAGGCTCCCTATCATGACCATAATGGACTGAGCCTCTGAAACCATAAGCCAGCCCCCAGTTAAATGTTTTTCTTTCTAAGAGTTTCCATGGCCATGGTGACTCTTCACAGCAATAGAACAGTGACTGAGACATAGACTTAGCCTCTGCCACAGGCTTGTGGACTCATTTTGTTACAAATTGCCAATTTTCTTCCTACCCACAATAGTCCATTATTGTTAGTGTGTTAATATAGCTGCCTAAACCTCATGACATGCCTTGTAGAAAGCACCTATTTTTCTCTTTCCTACAGCCCAGGCACTTTACCATCTACTCTTTACTTTCATAGGCAAAATCCATGCTTGGTGACCAGAGCCGTATACATTGATATTCTCTTCCTGCTGACTAAGTGCCTGGACAGACCTGCAGAAAGCAAGCAGCCAGGTATGACTCACATTCTACCTTAGAACGTTGCAGGGGAGAGTTTGGGGCAGTTCTACTGCACACTTGCCCACAGCTCCGTGTGTGAGACTGACTGATAGAACCCGTGTGACTCCTTCCTAGTGTCTCGAGGCAATCTGCCCTTGTGGGCTTGGAATTTTACCATTAAATTTGTTCTATTTGTCCATCCAGAAAAGACTGGACTCTACTCAGATACCCTCTGTGTTTTGAAGACCTTGGCCTTTGCTGTTTTATTATTTTCTCTGAAAATGTCATCATTATCAGTAATGGTTCATCCTGTTCCATCCTGTAGAGATAGCTGAGCTGGCTCATCTATCGGTGGATATTTGAGTCCCTGGTCTCAATCCACCCACCACCAGTTCATATAAGAGTTCCTCCCTCAGGCTCTGATTTCATACATGTCTCTAGGCCATGTGTGCATCTGATTATAGATCCACATACAGTTGTTCTATTTTAATCATGATTCACAAAGTGAATTAGAGAAAGACATCCCAAGTAAAAATAATTTGATATGTTTATATAAGAGGCCTCGGGAGAAGTGCAGAACATGAGCTCCAGGCCACAGATTGAAAAAGATTTTCACCAGTCCAAACTGGAATGCAGGATAATGAGCCTGCAACTGGTTAAAGTAAGCCTCTCCTAATTGATTAGGCCTGTCTAAGGAGATTCTGAGTACAGGCAGGCCAGGCCTTTCCTCTCTTGGGTTTAGCTTGTCCATGATTTGTTGCCTTCAGTAAATATGTTCAGGCTGTCAAAGTCCAGCTCTGTCCATATGGAGCTCCGTTCCCAAATTCAAACCAATTTAAAGAATTTTGTGGGACAAAGGTTGAAGCTACCTTACCTTGGCCATGCAGAGGTAATGAGGACACAGAGTCCTCCCTACATCCAGTAGTATAGGACTGTATTGGTTTATGGGGACCACATCCTAGTGTAGCCAGGCATACACCTGTAATCCCAGCACTAGAGAGGTAGAGACAGAAGATCGGTAGTTCAAGGCTACACTTATGTTCTAAACCAGCCTGGGCTACATGAGATCCTGTCTCTCAAAAAAAAAAAAAAAAAAAAAAAGTCCCAGCTGTGCCTCTCATTACAACATAGTTATGAATATTGTCCCCTTATATTCTTGAGAGTACTCAGGCTTGTACAATAAAATATTGGTCATTCTAGCTGTAAGGAACCTCTGTGTTGCATCCGCTTTAGGTTACACTTGCATTGACTGGGGTCCAGAGATTATAAAAATAATTAAGTCTGATGCTGCCAAATAAGCTGTCCCAGAATTTTGCCATTCATGTCTGTATCTGCAGATTTGTCTAAAAAGGCCTGCTTACTAACCTCTTCACCAGGGTACTTCAGAGTTGTGTGTTGGGAATCACTGGTCCAGCTCTGTCCATAGGGAACCCTGTTCCCAAACTCCAACTCCCTTAAAGTACACTGTGGGGGCCATGGGCATATGAAACCACCTCACCCAGATGTGCACTGTGTATAGTCTGGTGTGAAAGGATCAGTTCTTGGAAGCTATAATGGCTTCTCCCCAACTCCCTTCTCATTCTTTGTTTATGGGGACTGTCACAAAGATGGCGTTGGGGTCTTTTAATAATCCTGTCCTCCAAAAATTATAACATATACTCCAATTAAGTATAATCACACACTATCTTCAGGAAACTCAACAGTATTTCTCTTGCATACATACTGTTCCTCTTAGCGTCCTTTGTTTATGGAATAAGATATGATGGGAACAGAGCATTATACTCTTTCTCCAGTGTGTCAGCCATAGCTCTAAATGTATTGTCCCCTTATATTCTTAAGAATTTAAGAATATAAATTCTCAGTGGGGCAGAAACTAGCCCCAAGTAGCAATTGAGCATTTGACAAATGTAGCTGCTCCAAATAGAGATGTTCTATAGATATAAAATGTACAGCAGATTTCAGAGGATCCCACCATTAGGGAGGCTAATGCAAGAGGACTGCAAATTTAAGGCCAGCCTGGGCTACATACACATCACAACACTGTCTTTGAAATTCCTAAATGAGCAGGACTAGTGAATAGCTCAGAGAGTGAGGGCACTGGCTGCCAACCCTGACAGCTGGAGACTGATCCCCAGAACCCAAGTGGTGGACGGAGAGAACCAACCCCAGAAAGTGTTCATGTGACCTCCACACAATCACCATGGCACACTCATGCCCACACACACATACATAATTAAGTAATTAATTAATTCAAATAGAGTTTAAATACTAAAACTAGATAATTTCCCCAACTTTATACTGGAAAGGTAATCTTTCATTGGAAAGGTAATCTTTTGACATCATTAAAATTTTAAATGTATTGTGAAAATAATTTCCTGAGTTTTTCCCACTCCTTAGTCAAAATGTGAGGAGCTGGGGGATAGCTGGTGACTCATTATATGTCTGGCGTGTGCAAAAGCCCAGACTCAATCCCAGAACCTCAAAAAAATGAAGTCAACTACTAAGCCAAGTGTACTGGCTCACAGCTGCACTCCAGTATCTGGGAAACCAAAACTGGAGAACGGCCATGGGTTTGCGGTCAGCCTGGTCTACACAGCAAGTTCCAGGCCAGCCAAGGCTGAATAGTGAGACCTTGTCTCAAAAATATTAAAAAAAAAAAAGTACTACTAAAATAGGAAGAAAAAGAAAGAAGTAAGAAAAAGGAACAAAACTATCACTGAATACATGTACTTAACTTTGTTAGACGAGGGGTGTGAAAAGGGGCAAAGTAGGGAGCAGAGATTTTCATATCACATTGTTCATATCATATTGGGCAGTATCGATTTTTTGTCCAGACCTTTGGGAATTGACCTCATAAGCCACAAAATATATGATGTATGCATACATGACGTGTGTGTGTGTGTGTGTGTGTGTGTGTGTGTGTGAATGCTGTATTCATAGAATGTACCCACATAGCAGTAAGTTTTCCCTCCTGTGAAGAACTGGGTCTCTAGAATTAACCAAATGTCAGGCAAGGTAGTGATTGGGATGGACAGTGTTCTCCATGTTCAAAACCCTGACCTTGCAAGAATGAAGTCTGCTCTTGTGGTTCACGCATTGTTGCCAGCAGCATCTGAGCACTGCGTAAATCTGTCACCAAACAAGTGGTCCCTTAGACTGTATATAGATCCATTTGTTTCCAAAACATACCATCATCATATTAGATTCATCTTGTGAGCTCCCAGAGAGACTGGACCATGGCTTAGACTCTTTGTCACCTAGCTAAGCACTATAGCAGCCTCTCATGAAATGGGCTGATTATCAACTGATTGTTTGAAATACAGTTTTCATCAGTTTTAAAAATAGTCCATTTGTTGTCAAGATACTTAATTTTTTGAGACATTTTTCTCAACTGTAAATGAGAATAATGAAAGCATCTGTGGAGCCAGCAGGAAGACTCAGCCTAGCACCCAGAGTTCCATTCCAGAACTGACATGATGGAAGGAGAGCGCTGACTCCCTCATATCCCGTAGCCTCCACAGGTGCTATGGCACTCAACCTTATCCCCACCATAAAGAATGTAAAACAGTTAAAAAATAATCCAGTGATTCTTTTTCCAAAGAATCTGTATTGTAGAGTAGTAGGCCGTTATAGTATGCAAGCCTCATCAGAGAATATGCTTCTTGTAAGAACGGCACTCAGAACTACTGGTCCCTGTGGATTCCTTTGTATCCACCGTCATCGTCTGGAAACCTGCATCCAGCCTGGTCCTTGCAGTCCCTCACAGTCACAGTTCTCCTTCCCATGGTTAACATTTAAGAAAGCAGAAATGCTCACGTGCCTGCTCAGGCTGTCAGGAATCTGCTTGGTCACAGCTGTCTCTACCCCTTGACTGATGTGGACAGAGAGTTTGGTTGTTGTTGTTGTTGTTTACTTGCATTCATGAGAGATGCTAGTGTCAGATTTATGTTGAGCACATGTGTCCAGAACTAGTGTGGACTGTGCCTTGGGCTAAGAAAGAAGGTCCACAGGAAAGTTGTTTCTCCTTGGGGTTGCTGGCTTTGTAGGGGAGGTCATAGTCAGTTTCTGACAAATAGCAGGTTTCAGAAGATGAACAAAGAAATGGATATGACCAACAGAGAGGAAGTCTGTGCCATCTTCAAAGAATTGGAGTGTTTGAAGTTTGGGGTTCAAAGCCAAGCAAGTGTTACTGAAAGTGAAGCTGGCAAGCCAGAAACAAAGTCACAGAGAGCCCCACAGGCCAAATCCAAACAGTCATTTGACTATAAGCAAAGGAGTTACTGTGTGTCATAAAACATAGTGGAGTTATGTGGGTTTAAAACAGCATGGCTTTTCTGTGTCTGGACTCTCTGGATTCCCAGCACCCTTAAAGAGCCAAGTTCTTACAAAGAATGCAACTGAAGATTTTTGGGGTGGTACACTTTTTAAATGTTTTCTTTATTTGTATTTGTTGTGTACATACTCTCGTACCACAGCATGGTCAGAGCATGGTCATAGAGGACAGCTTTCCCTCTCTGGTTTCCTCCTTCCACCGCAAGAACCCCTGGGAATCAAACTTAGGTTTTCAGGCTCAGTCGAAGGTGCTTCTACCTGCTGAGCCATTTTGACAGCCTGCATTCACTTTTGGTCCTGGCAAACCTAGAACTTGCTCTGTTGAGCAGGCTGAACTTCAAATCACATAGCTCTGCCTGCCTCTGCCTCCCGAGTGCTGGAATTACAAATGCATTTAGCAAGTCCAGTGCTACCAAACATTCATTCACCAACTCTCAGGGATGTTTGCTTGGTCATCATAATCAATACTGGGGGTGTGGGAGACGGAGAATGGAGGACCAGGCCAGAATGAAAGGCAGCAGTGCTAAAAAATAGTTTAGGATGGTGGAGTTGAAGGGCACTTCTTCCTTATTTCCATTTACTAATTATGTACAACTCAGCTTCATCCCTGCATACACACAAACATTTTCATTACAGTTTTGTGGGTGCTGTACATACACACATTCAGACACAAGCATTTTCATTATAGTTTTTTGGGTGCTACATGCGAACACTCACACACAATTTTCTGGAGTTGGTTCTCCTCGTCTGTCATGTGGGTTCTGGAGATTGAACTTGGGTCATGGGGTTGTTGGCAAGCACCTTCGCCCACTGAACCACCTTGCCTGTCTGTTACAATTACAAAATCAATGTATTTATAAATGGGACTAATTACCAAAATACATAAAGCACTGTTTTCAGGGAGATTTTGGGTTGGGTTTTAGATGGAGGAGGCTCTGCCCACCTCTCTTGAACTTTGTTCTGTAAGTGGCACTCAAAGGCCATTCCCATCTCTGAAATATCTTAGAACCACCTAGAAGGTCTGGAGACACAACGAGAAAAACCTGGAAGGAGAAAAGCAGAGAGGATCATTAGAAAAACCTATAATAGTGACATGTTCTGTGCACTTCAAATGTTCATCGTAGTACTTCTACATCTCTTGAGGTTTCCTCACCCATTAATTGCATTTTAAAAAGTCCAAATCTGGGGTTGTGTTTGGAGAGTTTTGAAGTGATTTAAACCCATATGGACACTGTGTCCCCTGTATTCTTTTTTCCTTTTCTGTCATTATCAGCATACGTCATCCTACTGCAGGAAGGAAAATAAGTCTCAGCTGCCAGGCCTGTGCAAGAGTGCACAAAAAATTAGAATTAAAGTTCTAATCTTAAATCCAACCTATGTTACCTGTTCTCAGCTAGTAAAAATTTCCACTAAAATATTTATTTGCTAAAATAGTCTATAGTACTTGCTAAATGTTTGTCTTAATTAGGGTTTCTATTGCTGTCAAGAGACAGCATGGCCATGGCAACTCTTATAAAGGAAAGCATTTAATTGGGGTGGCTCACTTATAGTTTCAGAAGTTCAGTCCGTTATCATCATGTTGGGGAGCATGGCAGTGTGCAGGCAGAGATGGTGCTGGAGAAGTAGCTGAGAGTCCTACACCTTGCAGGCAACAGGAAGTTGTCTGAGACACTGGGCTGTATCCTGAGCATAAGAAACTTCAAAAACTGTGGTGATACACTTTCTCCAACAAGGCCGCACTCCTAATAGTGCCACTCCCTATGAGATTATGGGGACCAATTACGTTCAAACTACCACAGTATTTATCTACTTTGCTATGAAAAGTCAGACTTCCTGTTTGCCTATAAACTCACCCCTTAATTTTTTTCACAGCTATTGAGTTGGATAATTACCACATATTTAAATAAACATCATACTTAGGTGTTTGGACTCTATTTTTAGCTTGTGTGTGTGTGTGTGTGTGTGTGTGTGTGTGTGTGTGTTTCCTTTCCTAGGCTCCATTTTATGAATTTTGTCGCTGTTGCTATTCTTTTTGAGACAGAGTCTCATGTAGTCCAGGCTAGCCTCAAAATTAATATGTAGCCAATGATGACCTTGAACCTATGCCAAACTAGGGACTGAACTCAGCCTCCTACATGCCCTAATAACCAACCCCATTTTACTGACTTTGTGACGGTTGTTTTATACTTATCTGTATTCATATGTATTTCAATCTATTGAAATATGAATCTTGAAGGTGTTTGTTAATGAAGAACTGGCATCACAGTTTTAGCTAAAGAAGAGCATGTCCTTCCTACACTCTTGTGATGCTGGGGATTGAACAGGTCCTTGCAGTTGGTAGACTAGCACCCTACCACTGAGTTGTGTCCTCAGCACTCTATACTCATTGTTTCCAGACAATTGTTTCCAGGACCTTGCTAAGGTGCCTGGGCTGACCAGGAACTCTCCTTCTTCCTACCTCAGCCTTGCTTTGTACTCCTTTGTATATGGGTCTCTGGAGGCGGCTTCCCTGGCTCTGGGTTGTATGCAGGATGCCTATTCTGCTAAATAAGATACTGTTTCAGTTTCATCTCCCTTGTCATGGTTAATAATAATGGACACCTTTTGTTGACTGTTGGTTAGCTCTTGTGCCAAACATTCCTGTGCGTGAATAGGGGAGATGCTGGTGTTCCCTCATTATACACGAGTACACTGAGACTCAGAGAACTCGTGTGTGTGTTCTAAGGTATGAGAGCCTGAGCTCTCTGTCTCCCCACAGGAGCCCCCGACATTCTTCCTGGATCCAGCCCCAGGCTTCATTCCCTCTGCTGCAGCTTCTAAATTGTAGTTTATAGTGTCATCCCTGCCTAAGAGTGTGGAGCCATCCAAGAGCATACTTGGGACTCAGGTATATCACTAGAAAGAGAGCATTTGCCACTCTGGTGAGGACCTGCCCTTTTTGCCTTTGAAAATGGACATTCTTAGGGCCACCACACCAACACTTGCCAGTAGCAGCTGCTGGGGACTGTTCTGGGGTTTCTTCATTAGTTGAGATTCACAGGTCAGATCTCACCACTCTACCAAGTATGATAAACACTCCTTCAGTTGGCATCTTATTTTATAATTGATATTATTTTCCTTCTAGATGCACTAAAAGTGACCAGCTCACAGGAGTGAAGTCAGAGTCCTAACTGGTCTAACTGCAGTGTGCCTTGTGGATGGGTATTAGATGAGGCCACAGGCACTCTGTATACAGCTCAGGTGCTGAGTGCTGTCAGCCCTCCCCCCAGCCAGCTTAGGTGCTGAAGGTGGTCAGATGGTGAAGTCTGCAGCTATTCAGCAATGCTTGTGTTTTTCATTGCTCAGAACATGAACAGGCCGTACATGGTGTGAAGAAATACAGTCCATGATTTTTTATGATCTCAGAACTTCCTCTACTTAGTTCCTCTGAAATACCCTGAACAGTTAACAGAGAATAAACACTGGCAACCTACAAACTCCTGCTTTGGTTATCCTGTCTAATTAGGTTAAGTGTAACCAATCCCATCTGAACAAATTGAACGTGATTTGCACTGTTCCTCGGCTGCATGCAGACTTGTCTAATATGACACAGATGGTGTGAACCGCTCAGCTGGGGTGAGAGCAGAGGGGAATTGAGAACAGGTTTTAGGGTCTTCTGAGAACTTCAGATTTCTGAGCTGGCACCTATGAAACTTCAAGGAAATTGTTCAGTTTTTAGTCATCAATAGACCAGTTGTTTTTCTCCAGACACTGGACTCTGGTCTGAACTCTTGCTTTCCCCAGGGAACAGTGTGCTCTGGTGTAAGCAGCTAACTCCCTTGTGCAGGGTGGCATCAGATGAGCAGCTGAAAGTGACTCCTAGGGAGTAGTGTGTACAGAGGCCACTCTGAGAACTGCAGTTTCATGTTGTCCAGTAGGAAGATGGGGGCTGTCCCTGTGGAGAGACTTGCTCCAACGTGCAGCTGGCCACTACAGAGGGCCCACTGCCATTTCAGTGGTCCAAATTAAATGCTGGTTGTAGTGTGACACTTGGATTGAGTGTCTGTGTCTGTGATAGAACCATTTCCTGAAACTTTTTCTGACTTGCATCCTGTCCCCAGAGAAAGAACTGTTCAAATGTGCAGGATGATCTCAACTCTGTGGTTTCTGTCCTTGCAGATGTCCCCGCCTCTCCCCTCTCCAGCCCTTCATTACCAGCCATCAGGAACTAGCTGGCCCTGTCTATTAAATTGCAGTGCACAGAGGTTTTTAAACGTCAGTTCTAGGGCTGGAGAGATGGCTCAGAGGTTAAGAGTACTGGCTGCTCTTCCAGAGGACCTGACTTTCCACTGACTCAGAAGTCTCCGTCCTGGGGCTCTCAAGATGTAGCTCTGTTGGTAGAATGCTTGCCTAGCATGGATAAGTCCCAAATTTGATATCCAGGACTTTATAAACTTGGTCATGGTGGCATATGCCTGTGATCCCTGCACTCGGGAGATAGAGGTAGAAGGATCAGGGGCCATCTCCAGCCACATAGTAAGTTTGAAGCCATCAAGGGCTACATGATACCCTGTCTCAAAATATAAGTCTCCAGTGATTTGTTGTTTGTTACTGATGTTCTGTAGTTTTTATCATCCACACCATGTGTGTCTTTCATTACTGATCTTTTGTCCTGCAGCTTTTATGAGCTAATGTATTAACTTTGATTAGCATGTGGGGGTGTGGTGTGGATCCCTTAGGGTTTTCTGTATCCAAGACCATGTAATTTGCAATAGAAATAGTTTTTACTTCTTTATTTCAGCCTGGGTGCATATTGTTATTCTTGCCTAATTCCTCCAGCTAGAATCCCTGGAACATTGTGAAGACAGGAGTGTTAGGAGCAGGCATCCTTGTCTTGTTCCTGATCTCAAGCTAGATGATGCTAGCTGTGGGTTTTCATGAATGCCTTTGTCAAAATATGAAGTCTCTGTTTCCAGTTGGTTGACTTTTTTTAAATACTAAAAGGGTGTCAGATCTTGACAAGTGCTTTTTCTGTGTCTGCTAAGCTGATAATGTCCTTTCTTCTTTCTTTCTTTCTTCCTTTCTTTCTTTCTTTTTCTTTTTTTTTTTAATTTGAGACAAAAATCTCACTGTATCTCCGGCTGGTCTGCATGGCCCAGGCTAGCCTCTAACTCAGTAATCCTCTGTCTGGTGCTAGGATTGTATGCATGAGCTGCCATGTCACAGACTCTGAGAGTAGGATTTGTATTCTTGATTGTGACTTTTTACATGCTAAGTTAGTATTCTAATGTATAGTTGTTTATGGATAGTTTATTAACAGTCTGTGGACATGCTGGATATCTGTCCAAGATGGAGCTCTGAACATTCACAAAGAACATTCGAACTCTGATTATTCTTGGATTAAAAAAAAAAAAAAAACCTAAGAAGGAGATTGTTAGGCCATGAAGTAAAAAGAAGCACCCAGAATGCTTATCCAAAGAGCTGCTCAATTTGTATTCCCCCCAGAAGGGTGGTCCATTTGCTCCATGTTCTTGTCAACACTTAGTATCATCACCTGCAGCTTAGCTATTGCACTGAATGTGTGTAGTGTTTCCTAACTTGAAGTTACATTTCCTTCATGATTGATTAGGTTGAGCATCTTTCCATGTGCAGTATTTGCTCTTTTTTGCAAAGTATCTATTGAACATTTTATACAACTCTCAGGTAAATTGGTGTTTGTCTTATTGTTGAGCTTGTAAGTTCTTTTGTGTGTGTGTGTGTGTGTGTGTGTGTGTGTGTGTGTGTGTGTGTGTGTACATGTATGTGCCCTCAGACACATGCGAAGACAGCCTGTGGGAGTCAGTTCTTTCCTTCTACCATGTGGGCTCTGGGAATCTGACTCAGGGCATTAACTTGGCAGCAAGAGCTTTTATCCACCTAGTCATCTTGTAGGCCTGAGGCTTTGTTTCTTATTCTCCATGTGAGTTTCTTATAGAGACAGGCATTTGGGGATAGTTTTTTCCTGTCTTTGACTTTCATTTTCATTTCCTTAACGGTGTCTTTGAAGAGCACACATTCTTAATTTTGAGAATGTCCAGTTGATGGTTTTCTTTTTTTTTCTTTCCCTTTTCCTCTTCCTCCCTCCTCCCTCCTCCTCACTATCCCCCCCCTTCTTCCTTCCTTTTTTGTGGAAAGAGTTGTTTTGTTTTTGGTTTTATTTGATTGGTTGGTTAGTTGGTGTTGGTTAGTTGGTGTAGTTTGGTTTAATCAGGGTCTCCTTGTATAGCATAGGCTGGCTTAGAACTCATAGCATAGTCCCAGATGGCTTTGAACTATCTTCTTGCCTTCTCCAGAATGCAAGGATAATAGGTGTGCACCATCATCCCTGTTTTGTGCTTTTTTTTTTTTTTTTTTTTTTTTTTTTTTTTTTTTTTTTTTGTCCCCTAGTTAAGAAGTCTTTGTTATCTGCCAGTCACAAAGATATTCTTTCATACTTTCTTCTAAAACTTAGTAGGATTTTGTTTTGGTGGTTGGTTGGTTGGCTGGCTGGCTGGCTGGTTGGTTGGCTGGCTGGCTGGCTGGTTTGTGGTGCTGGGGATCAGCTCAGGGCTTTGGATCTGCTAGGCAAGCACTCACACACAACTACTGAGTTGCATCCTTAGCTCTAAAGCTTTATGGTTCTAGGTTTTACACTTTTATGTTTCATGATCTACATCTATGTAATTCATGTATATGCTGTGAGATAAATGTCTTTATATGATTATCAGTTATTCTTGTACCATTATTTCTTTGACACATTTTTTCTGTCCCTTGCCCACTTCTTTACTCCTTTAAGTTAGGTCACCTGAAGTTGTCCTACAGGTACCCCACATTTGGGGCTTCTTTTTCCTTCTTCTTTCTTTGTGTGTTTCAGTTCTCATAGCTTCTTTTCTGTATCTCCAGGTTAACTCTTCTTGTGTGTTATTTAATTGCTGTTGATTCTGTCCATGTGTTTTTATTTCAGGCATTGTACTGTTCATTTCTAGAAGTTCCACTTGTATCCTTTATATCTTTTGTATTTCTCTTCATGTTTAGTTTTTTTCTAGAGTCTTTACCATGAGTAGCATATTTTATATTAACTATTTTCATGACCATGCTTCTCATTACATATTATTTCTGCATCTGTTTCTTTTTTATTAATTTTCCTTCTCATCTTGGGTCCCACTTTAAAATGAGCCTTTGGGAGCTTAAGGAATTGAATTGTTCAGCCCACTGTGGCTCTCTTGTCCTGATTCTCCTGGCCCTATGCAGTTTCTCTCTGTGTGTACAGAGGTGTGGAGCCAGATGCTATGACCCTTGACCTGCAACTGAGCTGACCACCAGGGCCTCTTACTCTTTGAGCACTTCCTCTCCAGAAATGTCTCCCACCACCTGCAGCCTGACCCTCCCAACCCTAATCTCATCATCCGGCCTCTGCACTAGGGCTTTGGTTCTGTCCATGAGGATATGCCCTGCCCCGTCCAGTGGGTAAAAACAAGAATTCATACATCTTCCAGTTTCCATTGTTTGTGGTTGATGATAATTCCTGCAGGAATCCTCCAAAAACAGTGCAGATACAAATTCACTTCCTCTGTCTCATTTTGACACTTCTTTTATTCCTTCAGCTATAAGATAAAGGCAGTACCCTCAGAAGACCGGGGAGAAGTCATAACAATTTATGAAAACTTACTGAAAAATCATAAAGAGGAAAAAGCTAACGCTGTGAAAACGCAGCTGTCTGGAAGCTAAATGGCTTCTAGCGATTTGGTGTCTTAGACCATTTTCTGTTGCTAGAAACATCCTAGACAAGGTAATTTATAGAGAAAATAGTTTGTTTTGCTCACAGTTTTAGAAGTGAAAGAACGTGGTGACAGCACCTGGAGCAGGCCTACTGCGCTGTCATCCACGGCAGAGGACAACTTCTGTTGACAGCTTCCTGGCCCAGGTGTCCCTCCTCTTTTTATTAAGGCACTGCCCCTCTGGATCAGGGGCTCAGCTTCCTCTGATGCTTGTTACCACCCAGTTAAATTTCCACCCTCTTACTGCCTCATGTGGAGATGAAATCTCACCGTGAGTTTTGGTGGGGGACATGCAAACAGTAATGCTGGGTGCATTCCCCCCGAGGCTTACCATCTGAAGCTCAAGTGACAGGAGTCCCTCAACTCCTTCCTCTATGCTGTTCTTCACAGCCCAACCAGATTCTGCTGAACTTACGATCTGGGAGCCCCTCCTTGTAGACCACGAGTCCTGCAGTTTGTCTGTGATCCAATGCTGCCAGAGACATCTTTGGTCTTTGCTTTTGTTTCTTAAGGTGCACACAATAGAGCTCAGGCAGTCTCCAGACTGTCTTATAACACTGCCAAGGGACTGAAGTGGTTGGCCCAATCCCTCTCAGTGGAGGTAAGACAACAGAAGTAGGCCCAGGTACTGAGAGGAGTCTCTCCACCCAGCTGTAATCCTCAGAGTGCTTTTCATGCTGTCTCCGGTTGCCTCAAGATGTCAGAGAAGCCTAAAATCCAGTATGAGAAACAGGTTAACTTAAAGGGGTGCTAGGATATTATGATGGGGCAAATTCCTTCCAGTCCTGCAACTGCAGGACAGTTCTTTGAAGAAGCAGAAGCAGTCTGTGTTGGGAAATAACTGCAAGTTTGTGTTTGTAGTTTGTCGTGTGTTTATCCACAATATTTCCTGATTTGCTCCCTGTGATGGGCAAAAGCTGGGTGGAATGGAGGTGGAAGGAAGAAGTTTAAAATGCTATGGGATGGACCTGATACACTCATCTTTTCTGAACTCTGTGTTCTTGGTTTATGGCTTAACAAGTGCTCTTCACCTAGAATAGAAGGCATCCTCCATCCCCAGCAGCACATAAGAGTCCTTTGTTTAAACATACCTACCTCTGAGCTGGCCCTGGTGCACAAGCCTGTAATGCTAGCCTGAAATTTGGGCAGGAAGGTATAAAGTTCAAGGTTGTCCTCGGCTACATAGTGAGTTCCATGCCAGCCTAAAACATGATGTCCTAGGGATTGAGAAGGAGACCCATGATTCTGAGACCATAAGAACAACCAAAGTATCCTAGTTCCAGTTACTTTTGCTGCAGTGAAATACAAGTCTAAAAGCAAGTTGGTGAGGAAACCATTCATTTGGCTTATACTTCTATATCACTGTTCATTAATAAAGGAAGTCAGGACAGGAACTCAAGCAGGGCAGGAACATGGAGGCAAGAGCTAATGCAGCAGCCATGGAGGCTCCTCCTTGGCCTGCTCAGTTTGCTTTGTTATAAAACCCAAGACCACCAACTCAGGATGGCACCACCCTTAATGAGCTGGACCCTCCCCCATCAATCACTAATTAAAAAAATGCCCTACAGGCTGCCCTACAGCTGGATCTATAAAGGTATTTTCTCAGTTGAGGTTCATCCTCTCAAATGTCTTTAGCTTGTGTCAAGTTGACATACAACTAGTCAGCACAAAAGGGAAAAGGGAATATTCCCAGAGGACCAGATTTGTGATGGGGTCCATACCTATGTATGCATCTTTGAAGGATGTCAGAGAACCAGAAACAAAATCTGGCAAGAAAGAAACAGAGAAGACCTGTCTTCAAGTCCTCTCCCAGGTCCTTTTCCGTGTTTGTGACTGGAAGGGCCTCTGGGGTCAGGATTACAGTTTACTTAGAGAGGCGGGGTTAGACAGAGGAATGGAATTTCCCTTTGATAAGGAGAAGCCAAGAATTAATAAATCAGTTGATTTTGCTGTTGTTGTTGTAGTAGTTCCTATGGTTTCCTGTTCTGTACAAGTATCCCTTTTTTACTGAGAAATTGCATAACAAGACATTAACATTCACAGAGTACAAATTATCAGCTGATTATTTTTAGACCCGTTTATCAGCCATTGCACAAAAGAACTTCATTTGGCTCAGATTGTAGAGCTCACTGACCTGAGAGAAGGTGGAACACTCCACTGAACATTGAGACTTTCTGAGCCCCTCCTTTAAGGGATGCTAAGAGAAAGCTTAGGACAGTTATGTCTGCAGACATTTTTGGGGGGTGGAGGTGGGGTCTTGTATATCCCAGGATGCTCTTGAAGCCACTACAAAGCCAAGTGACCTTGAGCTTTTGATCCTCCAGCTTCCACCTCTCCAGTACTGGGATTACAGGAACCATCTCTGCCAGGACCAAGCAAACTTCACTCCAGGCCTGTCCAACTTTTTCTTTTTGGCCTTTGTCTTTTGGACAGCTCTGCATGGGACTGTTGGGATACTTTATTGAGTGACATTACAGGGAAGATGAGGAACTGTATATGTTGTTCTGGAGCTCTGTGGCTGAGAACTAGGCAAGGGGTTGGTTTCTGATGAGGGGCACCCTGCCAACGCAAACACCACAATCCCATTCAGCAGGACACCAAGAAGTAGCTGACCTCAGATGGACCAAAGTAAAGTGCATGTGGTCCCTGCCACTCCACAGCGTCAACAGTACCTGGGAATTTGCTAGAAAACAGGCTGGATCAGAAACTCTAGGGTGAGCAACTAAAATTTGAGAGTCCTAGTCCTCTTAGAGTTGGACCTCTCCATTAATTGTGTATATTCCCACTTCCTCCCTCCTTCCCTCCTCCCCTTCCCTCACTCTCTTCCTCCCTTCTTACCCCCTCATATTAATTACCTTTATACTGTAATCCCATTGTATCCATAATCATGTGGCAGAGATTGATGTCAGCCACAGATTTTCAGAATACCCTTGTTAAAACACATCTTCTATTTGGGTTTTGGGGTGTGTGAAAGGGGTATTCATTTCAGGTAGAAGGCTTGAACCCAGGACCTCATATATAGTACCATACACTCTACCAACCAAGCTCTCTGTGTGTGTGTGTGTGTGTGTGTGTGTGTGTGTGTGTGTGTGAAGGTGTTGATGCCATGTAGCCTAAGCTGGCTTTGAACTCATGACCTTGTCTCAGCCTCCCAAATACTGAGGTTACAGGTGTGTGTTACCACACCTGAGCTTTGCAAATGTCAGCTTTATATTGATTTTTTAGAAGAAGCTTTGAAGCCAGGTGTAGTGCCCCACTGCTATAATCCCCTCTGATTGAGAAGCTGAAGGAGTTGAAGGCCAACCTGGGCGGCATAGAGAGCCCTGTCTCAGGGACATTTGATAAATCTCTATGTGTAGCTCAGACCTTTTGATGGTCTACAAGCCTGCCGCTGAGATTAGCTCTTCCTCCCAAACTTGCTAAGTCATCTGGCAGTGTTGGCATCCCTGACCTGGCTAGTTAGGAATGGCACATCTCAGCTTCTAAGCTAACTCAGGCTCCATTGTTCTGGGTGCAAGGTAATACTGAAATCTACAGCCTGGGAACTGAGCCCTGCTCAGGTGGTGAGGACACAGGGTGAATGGCTGCTGAGCTGCACACGGACATGACTCATGGGGTGAGGACTCCTTCATTCCTCCCTGAGAAATGTGCAAATGTCAGCTTCCCCACAGCTGTTGTTCCCAGTGCTGGCCCTGGCAATGCTCCACCAGACCTTGGTGAAGCCATAGGGAGATGATGTTATGACACACTTTTTAAGAGCCAAGTTGTTTCCATTCCCTTAGGTGTAGAGATATAGCCTGGTGGTAATCTGCTTGCCTGGCATGAACAAGACTCCAGGCCTAACCCCCAGAACTAAAAAATGGTTTGCAATGGCACTGTGTGGTTCCATTTCCTCTTCTGTGTAGTGATATGTGGTGGGGTATTTTATTATGCTTGGGTTATCTTTGTTGACAGGGTCTTACTCTGTAGCTCAGATTGGCCTGGAATTCTACATAGCCCAGGATAACCTTAAACTTGCTGTGATTCTCCTGTCTTAGCCTCCTAAGTGCTGGGATTATACACATGGATTGCCACCATGCTCAGATAATAGTAGTTTGATTCTTTTGGTTTGGTTTGGTTTGATTTGATTTGGTTCAGTTTGTTTTTTGAGACAGGATGTAACCCATAATAGCTTTGAACTCCTGATTTTCCTGCCTTCTCCTAAGCACTGAGGTTCCAGTAGTGTACCACCACACCTAGTTATAATAAAAGTCTGGCAACTGGACTAGAGAGGTAACTTGATAGTTAAGAGCCCATGCTGTTCTTACAGAGGTTTGGTTCCCAGCACCCACAACTGGCAGTTTACTATGCCTGTAGCTCCAGCCCCGTGGGGTCTGGTGCCAAATTCTATGCACGGGAGTGTGTGCACATGCGCGCGCGCACGCGCGCGCACACACACACACACACACACACACACACACACTTTAAAATAAAACATTTTTAAATTTTCTGTGTATAGCTGTATGCTCCATTACTTATGACTTTGTATTTTTAAGACAGAATCAGTCTCACTTTGTAGCCCAGGCTAGCCTTGAACTCATAGTGATCTCTCTGCCTCAGCCAACAAAGTGCTAGGATTACAGGTATGAGCCACCAGGCCCAATAAGGATTTATTGGGGAGTATTTCTCCAATGAGGCAGGACATAACACAGCGGGAGGTGGTGTCCTTCCATGTGAATCCAGCCATTAAGCCATTATCCTAAGGACTGGAAATGCACTTTACTCTGGAGAACAAACAGGAGAACTCAGATTGAGTGTGAGGCTCAGTTGCACTCTTGAGTGCACTGGTGGGAACGTGCAGAGACTTCCCAACAGGAAGGCCTGGAAAAGTCCCATGACAAATGGATTGTCAAAACCATCTCGGCGTAGTACAAAAACAGTAGGGCCAGTTAAACAAGGACTTGATCCTTTCAGTGAGATGGTGGCCTCCCAAGGAAGAAGAAACCCAAAGCAATCAAGTCTGAGATGACAAACAGAAAAGATACAGTTTAAAAATCAGTGCCTGCTAGAGAAGGATGTTGAACTTCAGACTAAAGAGCTACTGTCAGTTTTTGTGCCCTGCTAACAAAAGGTATGCACAAAAATGAAAATATAAGTACTGCATGTTGAAATAGATTTTGAGCTACCTTTGATACCCCAAGACACAATCCTCACTTTGCCAGAGTTCTGTTGGGAAGCTACTGGGTGAGCCACCAGACGGTAACAGTAGCTGTCAGTCCCAGGTGCACACCAGAATGACCCCAGTCACTTTGAAACTAAACTGCTAAGACTCTCCCAGACATGTGATCAAGTGTCCCTGAACATGTTTTCCTAAATCTCCCTGATGAGTTTCACACTCTCCCTGGGCTGAGAACCACTGTAGGAAAGGAATTTTTTGTTATCTCTGCAGTTGCTCATACTCAAATGTTGGACACCCTTCCCTCCCTCCAGCGTCCTGGTCCTCCCAGAGGCCCCCTCACTTGGTTCTGGAACACAGTGGGGGCAGTTTCTACAATTTCCACCCATGGGCCCTCCATGCAAGCAGAGGCTGGTCTTTTTAATTCGATGCTACATCTGAGTCTTAAAAGAGACCAAGAACAAAACTGTATGTGGTGAGCCAGTGTCTGCACTATGGAAGGCCCCGCTGCCCCAGTGCCTGCCAGCAGCTTTTGATCGTTCTTTCGAATTCATAGTAACACCCTCCCTAGAGAGAAAATACGCCATGGTGAATGTCCTTCCTCTTCCCTTCTGGGAAGTACCAAGCTAGCATCAGCTGTACTTTGCTGAGTTGCAATTCCTGCCTACCCACTCATACACCCAGCAAACCCTTGGGAGAATTCTCTAGTGTGTGCCTGTTGGCCGGGACGAAACACAGAATCACCTATCAGCATCTTACAGTAATCTGTACAACCTGAAATCAGCAGAATCCAAACCTGCCAAGATCTGAGTGTATGTGTGCGAATCTGCATCCACATGTGCACAGGCTGTGGTTTTCAAAATGCCTGGGTCAGCAACAGATGCAGCTGCAGCAGCACCTGTAAGAGCTAGAGGTGTGACTTCCTCAGTAAGAACTAGGTCTGTGACTTGGCCAGGCATAGTGGCTCACATGTGTGATCCTAGCACTTGGGAGGCTGAAGCAGGGGACTTGTCACAAATGCATACATACCAACGTCCGGGCCAACCAGGGCCTTTTAGGGATACTCTCTCTCCAAAACCTACAGCGTAGTGTTTGGGCCAAACCTCTGTTTGTAGAGTGCTTGCCTGGTGTGATTAAAGCTCCGCTTCAGGCTCTAGCACTGTGTAACCCAGGTGTGATGATGCAGCCTACAACCCCAGCATCAGAGGATTCAGAGGGACCTTCTGCTGTGTAGCAAATTCAAGGCCAGTATGAGCTGCCTGAGACCTTGTCCCAGAAATTCGTTAATTAATTGGTTAATTAGCTAAAATAGAATAAGACTGATCCCTCCAGGAAGGTGAATAAAGCTGCTTGCTGCACAAACCTGAGTTGGATCCCTGGAACCCATGTCAAAATGAAAGGCGAGAATCAATGTTACATGGTTGGCCTCTGGCTCCGCGCGTGCGCGCTCACACATGCATTTCCACCACTACCATGATAACAAGTGAAATGAGTTTGAAAGGAAAGCTTAGCTCAGGTATATCTTTGTATCACAGTTGTTGCACAATGTAGTATTTTTTTTCTAAGCAGTAATTGGGAGAAAGGACAACATGAACGTAATCTGATGCTTTTCTACCTCATAGTACAAACGCAAAGCAGACCCCTTGGATGGTCCTAGATCACCTTCCATCTGTTCTCACATAGCTCT